ATATCTCAGATCGCTGCCACCTTGTGGTGGATGATGTCATTTGCAGTAGCCAGACAATCCTGAGTCAGTGTCAGCTGTCAATCATGACGTCTCCGCCTGTTTTTATATCATTAAATAACTGATTAAACCAAACTGATGAGAAACACTCGAACAAACATCAGTGAGAGAAGAACGAGCTGCAACGACAGAAACATCTTTAAACATTTATTTAACGTCTGCTTTGAGTTTGAGTTTGGTCCATGTCCCATCTGCTAACATGGAGGAGATTTTTGACCTGAACTGCAGCCACCAGGGGGCAAATGAGATGATTTGGCTTCACTTTAAGGAGCTGTCACGGCGTCCATCTTTATTTACAGTCTCAGGACGGACACAGGCTCCAGTTGATAAACGACCTGTTCCCCGAAAGGTGTGATTGAACGTTGACATGCTAACGTCAACATTAGCAGAGAAGTGGTGGAACTAGAAGCTGTGGACGTTAACGTTAGCTATGCACCAATACAAAACTCCGTGTGAGTAAACATCATCACATTTATCATGTGATGTCGTTTTCATCTTGTTCTACTGCCCCCAAGAGGCCAACCCTCATCCCTGCAGCTTTAAGGACTCACTGTTTGTAACTGTGGTTTACAGATGTGTATTGAACTATGATTGGACCGACTGATGTCATCGCTTAACCACAAACAACCAATCAGGCCCCTCCGCCCACAGCCTCATTTCCTCATCACCGCTCCCCCGCTGTGGTTTGATGGAAGTCAACATTTACAGCCGGTCAGAGGAAACACAAATCCATCAGCTGTAAACGTTGATTTCCAATTCTTTGTATTTTTCCTCGACCAAACATTTACATGTTCCTGTGTTTACACCCAGAACAGAACACGTGTGTACGTGAACGAACCACAGATGTAAACCATCATCACACGCAGAGACAGAAAATAACTCGACCTGAGGGTCTGATGCTCGTTAGAGGACGGATCTGGACGTTTGCAGAGACAAAGTTCTTCTGATAAATTTAAACTTTAAATCACATGTGGAGGGAACGTCTCCTGTAAGGACAGACAACACTGCCCTCTGCTGGGGTGTCAGGGTACAATATCCAGATAATAAAAAAACCAATGATCCATTACAACATCACAATAAAATCAATATGACGAGCGAACCTCACCCGCCTTTATATTTCTTCTACACGTTAGATCGGTTAAATATAAAACCACGAAGCGACACAAGGAATACAACTTTCACCGTTCTTACAGATCATCCGTATCATGAAGAACAAGACGAACAAGAGAAGTTGTAAGAAAAACATTTATTAATGGTCCTGCTGATGAAAACCGGAGCGCAGCTGAGGCGACGGTTCAGGTTAGCACCTCTGTGCTTTCACATTTCACACCAGTTTACATCAAATGTGCAAAATAACGTATAAAACATTCTGCAAACATGGCCGCTCAGTAGGTCAACACATAATAAAATATAATTTTCTGTTGGCACAGATCAGAACTACAACAGCAGTTTAATGGAATGAAATGACTTAGCTCAGTCACAAGGTTCACACTGGTTGTATATACTTTATATATTCACACAATGTTTATGTAATGACGGCATTTTTAATTTCATCACAAAATGATGAAGACAACCAGCAGAGCCGACGTGCTTCAGGGAGCATCTGTTACTAACGCTCAGAGGTAAAATGAGGAAGGAGCAGCTACAGAATAGATTTTGTATAAGATCCAGTTCACACACTAAACTATGAACCGTTTAGAACAGAAACAAATCAGTATGGTTTTCTGGAGGGAGAACGGAGAAGCCAGCGATGAAGAAGGCAAGTGAGGAAAGCAGTGGATGAATGCAGCGTCTGTAAAACACTTAATAACCATTAAAAACTTTGATGAAAATCCTGAACAAGAACCAGAGACACAGAGTTCTTCTTCCTTTGGAACAAATCTCACCCTCACGTCACCTCAGGATGTTCCCTTCTTTCACTGAACATGTTTCCAGTGTAGAAGCTGAAGGAGCCGTCAGAGCTGCAGACACTGGAACGACGTGACCACTGAGAGACATGATCACATTGAATTCGAAGGCTGATGTGTTGGACACATTTACTTTTAGAAACTACATTCAACAGCTCGATGTAACAAAACAGCTGCTCAGTAAAGACGCAGAAATCATTTAAAGACAATATTTTGAAAACAGCTGCTTCTAAAACTGTAGAAAATCTAAGCTGCTAAAAGTTTGTTGATACTTGTTTGTTTGGTTCAGAGCAAAATACAAAGTTTGGTTTTCACTGGTCGTCATGACGGGGGAGGGGAGGGGGGCTCAATACTACTGACAAATATTTTTCATGATCGATAAAGTGAAGAAAAAGATTTGTGATAAATGATTGTGTTTGTGTTGAGGCTGCAGGTTCTTGGATTTAATATTTGTTTGGGAAATGTTTCCTGTTCATTCAACATTTCAGTTTTATCTCAAACTAGATAACTGATAATAAAAACTGTTAATTGCAGCCTGAGTAGAACTTTAAATAATTTATGAACACCATGATTTACTCATGAACTGTTGGTCTAACTTGTGTCCCATGAAACATTCACTCGTTAAAATCGTTAACGTACGCCCGTGGAAGAGGGCGGAGCTTTAGCGGACGCTCTGAGACATGTGCAGCGGAGTGAGCATCTCCTCAAAGATGGCTCCCTTCACATTGGAGCCTCTCAGGTTCGCCTCCTGAAGATCACATCCTGACAAGTCACAGTTCTGCAGAGAAAGATCCAAACTGAAAACCTGAAAATCGAAACCTCTGTCCATCGTTGTTGACATGTTGAAGTGTAAATACTGTCTGGATAAAATGAGACTGTGCAAAATGATCATTATCAGTTATAATACAGCAGAAAGTCAATGTATTTATAGTGCACATTTAAAAGACGTTGACAAAAGAGT